CCCCCCCACACACACACACACACACACACACACACTTCCGATGTTCCCTCCCATCTCTTTGCTATCCTTTATCAACCCCGCCACCACTCACCTCATGACTCACCCCAAACTCACCCAGGGCTGTTTGAGCTCCACAGAAATGAGTGTGTTGGAAGTTTGTATTTTATAGTCTATCATGAAACACGAATTCCACTATTCCCGTTTATTGTAGCAACCACTTTTTACAGGAGCTTTTGGTTGAATTCCAAAATTGTCTGTGGGCTTCAAATGTAGTGGTTCCACTGTAGATTGATTGAATGGAGATAATGAAGGTGATTTGATTTATTTCTTTTTTTTTTTAACTTTTGATTAAGCGATCATTGTACAAAAGCGGAAATGTTCCTATAAATCCCACAGCATTTGTTATTAACTCTATTCTTATTATTCCTTTATTTCATACACACATCACATCCACTTGTCCCACTTCCTCTCTTCCCGCCACCATCCTACATTTTACCTGCATGCATCTCAACCCTTCTCTGTCCACACGCGCACACGACGCTCTTTTTCTCAGCTGTTGGAGTGGATCCGCCGCACCATCCCGTGGCTGGAGAACCGCGTGCCCGAGAACACCATGCAGGCCATGCAGCAGAAGCTGGAGGACTTTCGCGACTACCGTCGGCTGCACAAGCCGCCCAAAGTGCAGGAGAAGTGCCAGCTGGAGATCAACTTCAACACGCTGCAGACCAAGCTGAGGCTCAGCAACCGGCCCGCCTTCATGCCCTCCGAGGGCCAGATGGTGTCGGTGGGTTTCCTTTCTTTCCAAATCCTTTGTTCACACCTCAGAAAACTGCAACAGTGGATTCTCACCCCCTTTTTTTTTTACATCAAGTAAAAAAAAAACAAAAACAACAAAAAAATAATCTTAGCTCTCCGAGCAGCACCATTATGACCAAGATGAAAATAATGTACAAGTAAAAGTCACACTTGGACTCTTAAGCGTTCACCAAAAATGAGACAAAGGTGCCTCAGCGAGCAGTAGACGGAGCCCGCATAGCACGACAACACTTTCAGAATCACCGAGCTCGGAGACTCAAAAACCGCCTTCCCCGCAGGACATCAACAATGCATGGGGCAACTTGGAGGGTGCCGAAAAGGGCTACGAGGAGTGGCTCCTCAACGAGATCCGCCGCCTGGAGAGACTGGACCACCTGGCCGAGAAGTTCCGTCAGAAAGCGGCCATCCACGAAGGCTGGACTGAGGGTAAGAAAGTGGCAGGAGTGTAAGTGTGTGTGTGGATGTGGTGGGGGGGGGGGGGGGTCATATTAGTAGTAGTGAAGGACACTGGGAGCCGATATTCCTTTGCAGTGAAAAGCAAAATATTTCTCACAATTTTGAATCAGACAGACTCAGACACTTGATTTGAAGTGTATTTATTAAACAGCTTTTCAGTTTTACAACATCTCTTTTTTTTTTTTTTCTTTTTATCTTCGATGAGAGACATCTTTGTTTTGAAGCTCTACCAGAAAGTGCAGAGAGCTCCCAGGCCCAGCACCGAGTCGCAGAACGTTCAATGAAAACGTCAGCAGATAAACGGCTCCCTGAAGTTTTCTACAGGAAATAAAGTGGTCCGAAAAAATTCTGTATCACTGAAATGTTAATGTTTCACTTCATGTCAAACAGAAACAAAAAGTGCAGGGAGTTCCCAGGCTCGGCAGCATGTCTTAGAATTCCCTGAGGTTAACCCAGTTTACCCAGGAATAGTTGTTACGATTGCATGGCTGTCAATGTCTTATGTTCTGTGTTGTGGTATATTGCCGTATTTTTTTATTTTATGTCAACTGTTCTGTAAACCGTTTTTTTTTTTTTTTTAAACAGCCGCAGCTATTGTGAAAGCGCTGTATTAATGAAGATGTATTGTTTTTAACAGCGAAACATTTTAACTATATCAATTGTGTCGTTGCTGAAATTAATGACGGAAAAATTTTATTGTTGCCAGGCAGAATTTGTGTTGTAATTTGCTGGTGCATAAAAGTCAGACCAACAAACAACATTTTAAGGAGACACATTTAAAGGACATCATCGCTAACCAAAGCTTCTTTTCACCGCACTGCCCTCTTCTGGCTTGCCAGTGGGACTGTCGTGAGATTGTGATGACCGTGTTTTTGTCTTCCTCCCTGCGCAGGCAAGGAGGAGATGCTGCAGCGCAAAGACTACGAGACGGCGTCGCTGTCTGAGATCAAGGCTCTGCTGAAGAAGCACGAGGCCTTTGAGAGCGACCTGGCTGCCCATCAGGACCGGGTGGAGCAGATTGTTGCCATCGCGCAGGAGTTGAAGTAAGCCAAAAATGTCCGCTGAGATTGACGCTGGAGAGGCTACTTGTCGACCTTTTCAATACAATAGTCATAGAAAGACTGTGAACCAAACTGGATTTGTGTAAGACCATTTCAGTGTCACAAGAGCACGTCTGTGCCACTAAAACAAGCAACAAAAAAAAAGGCAGTTCATTTACCAGGTCAAGTTAACTAGACCTGACTTTCCACCACATCTGTTGTGGAATCAACTTAGCTGTTGAAATAGAAACTATGGCTGCTGTTCGTCTCCCTTGACACGTTCAAGCTACGGCGATAGAAAAGGAGGATGAATTCATCATCCAGGCCGCTGCAGCTTGAAACGATGTGTGATGTCACGGTGAAGAAAAAAAGTCGATCTCAAAAGCTGTACCGGGTTTTTTTTGTTGCGTTCCAGTGAGCTGGATTACTACGACTCGCCAAATGTAAACAGTCGCTCTCAGAGAATTTGTGACCAGTGGGATTCCCTTGGGGCTTTGACCAAGCAACGCAGTGAAGCTCTGCAGGTGAGTCCATTATATTTAAGGCCCAAACGTGCAGTCTGCTCCCCTAAAGTTTCTTGAAAATTAATTCCAGAAACCAATTTAACTTCATACAGTGAGATTTGTCAGGTTCGTCAATCACGACTCGTCCCTTTAAAAAAAAAAGTCTCAAGAACTCAGGTCTAAAATACCTTAAAGTCTGCCATTTTGGTTTGAAGTGGACCGTTTGTATTTATCCATTCATTCATTTTCTCATCCGCTCATCCTCACGAGGTTCGCGGGCGTACTGAATGGGGCCCACTCCAGCTGTCTTCGCGCAGTAGGCGGGGTACACCCTGAACTTCAAAAGTGGACTCCAAACATTTCATAAGCGGTTCAGAAAATGGATGGATGCATGGGTGTTTTGATGTTCATGACTTGTGGTCGCAGCATGACATCGAAGTTTGATGAATAGCCAGTGAATACCAAATAGAAATGGCCCAAATCCCCGAAAAATCTCACAGTGTCGATTCTCTTCCGCTCTTTAATTGAATCCAATGTTAAACAAAACAATGATGACTTTCTACAGAGAACAGAGAAGCTTCTGGAAACCATCGATCAGTTGTACCTGGAGTTCGCAAAGAGAGCGGCTCCATTCAACAACTGGATGGAGGGTGCCATGGAGGACCTGCAGGACTCTTTCATAGTCCACACCATTGAGGAAATCCAGGTGAGGATGCAGTCCAACAGTTTTCACTGAGGTGTTTTTGCTATATATTCTCACATTACAGTACATGTCTGCCACAGGGCCTCAGCACGGCCCACGAGCAATTCAAGGCCACACTGCCTGAGGCGGACAAAGAGCGCCAGGCCATCCTGGGCATCCACAATGAGATCGCTAAGATCATGCAGACGTACCACGTTAACATGTCCGGCATCAACCCCTACACCACGATCAATCCTCAGGAGATCAACGCCAAGTGGGACAAGGTGATCACAAGCTGTCCTCTTTGTGACTCTGGGATACTTTGCTTCACACCTATGGATGACGTTAGCCGTGACGTTGAAAGATTTTTGTCTGACAGCGAGCTTGCCAGCGAGTTGCTAACATCACACACAGCAGACGATGGTAGCAGTGGAAAACAAATGTTTTGTCTTACATCTACCAATCTGCTACCCAGCTAGCAGCTAACGTGAGCAGTGACACTGATGTATTTGGTCTTCGGGTTAAAGACATGCGGTCATAAGCATCGATATGGAAATATTCCAAATCGCAGCCAGAAAAAAAGAGTTTGTTGTATGCCATGTAATGAACAGAACTGCAGTCCATCATAATCATCTGTTAATGACGTGTCCTTTCAGGTACGACAGCTGGTTCCTCAGCGTGACCAGGCCCTGATTGAGGAACACGCCCGGCAGCAGAACAATGAGCGTCTGCGTCGGCAGTTCGCCAGCCAGGCCAACGTCATTGGACCTTGGATCCAGACCAAGATGGAGGTCAGTCTAAAGGCGAGCCTGCTCAGGGATAACCTCATGTTCTCCTTCTAATATTTTGCTCGTGCGTGCTTGTGTGTGTGTGTGTGTGGAGTGCAGGAAATCGGCTACATCTCAATGGAATTGCACGGCACGCTGGAGGACCAGTTGGCACACCTGCGGCAATATGAGAAGAGTATAGTCAACTACATGCCCAAGATTGAGCAATTGGAGGGAGACCACCAGCTCATCCAGGCCGCGCTCATCTTTGACAATAAGCACACCAACTACACTATGGAGGTAGCCAGCAAATGGCTCACAGCAGCGGAACGGCTAACGTTAGCATTAGGAAAACAAAACCCAAGTGATAACTTGTCCCGTGCCGTATTTTCAGCATATCCGTGTGGGCTGGGAGCAGCTGCTGACCACCATCGCCCGCACCATTAACGAGATCGAGAACCAGATCTTGACACGGGACGCAAAAGGCATCAGCCAGGAGCAGCTCAATGAGTTCAGGGCCTCCTTCAACCACTTTGACAGGGTCAGTGGCAAGTCTGGTATTTCCCGAGCAATTGCTAGCAGCTAACGTTAGCGGCGACACCAAAATACTTGGTCTCCCAGCTAACCACATGCTAACTAGTCAAGTTAAACCTGTGACTAGTGCAAGCAACTAATATTAGTGGTGATTATTTTAAGTGTTCGAGAACATAATGGTTATAATATATGGACAGTATATATACTGTATAGTAGCTGCTTTCACCACGTGGCCTGAGAGCCCGCCTTACACACTGCACATTAACGCCTGAGAATGTGCCAAGCAACGCGCGTGTGTGCGTGTGTATATGTATGTTTGCGTCTGTGTGTGTTTGCGTGTCTCACTGCGTGTGTGTCCGTGTGTGCTCTCGCGTGCATTTGAACGTGCATACTTTAGTGTGTGTGTGCGTGTATGTGTGTGTGTGTGTGAGTTGTGGGCGTGTCCGGACATCTGTATGCATTTGTTGTGTGTTCGCGTGCATTTCTATGTGCTTTTGTAATATGCATTGCCGTTCTCGTGTGTTAATGTGCGCAAGTCTGTGCGCGTGTATTTGTGTTTGTTAATGTGTGCGGATATTTGTGCGTGCACGTTTGTGTGTCGGCATGTGTGTGTGAGTGTGTGCGTTGACCCTGCAGATGCTAACCAACATGCAATATGTCTTCTCCGTTCTTTGTGCGTCTCCTGCATGCCTTCATGCCCCCCACCCCCACAATGCATGGTATCAATCACACCTCACCTTCAATCACTTTCTGCGCTGTTGTCCGAATGCCGCCACCCCCTGTCCTGTCCTGTGGCTGTCACGGCTGTTTTGTGTCGCTGCATGGCCCCGATGCCCATCACCATCACCACAACCACTTCCCCTCGTCACCGCCACCACACACGTCAGGACCACACTGGCACGATGGGGCCCGAGGAGTTCAAGGCCTGCCTGATCAGCCTGGGCTTCGATATCGCCAACGACGCACAGGTACTCCTTTAACTTGTCTCACTTTTTTTTTTGTTTTGTTTTTCTTTCCTCCCTGCTTTTTCTCCCTTCGTCCTCTCTTCCGATGGTTTCCCTTTGCTTCCTTCTCCTTTTTCTCTCTTTTTGTTTTTTCCTTCCCGTCCGTCGCTCGTCCCTTTTGTAGAAGCGAACGGGAGTGATGGACGCCGACGACTTCAAGTCCTGCCTTATCTCTGTTGGTTACAACCTGGTAACGTTTTCTGTTCTTTCTTTTTGGCGTGAGCAGATAACACCGCGTGTTGTTGTACACAGTCGAGAATCACCATACCATTCACAGTGGTGCCTTGAGACACAAGTTCAATTTGCTCCCTGACCATGCCCCTAACTCACAGCGAGATAACTGTGTAACTAGTCGGCAAATCAATAACTCAAGAGCTGGCGAGCTCCCGAGAAATTGAGCTTACGAAACAACTCGCCACCGAGCTACCTAGAAAAATAGTTGTTATGTAACTAACTGAAGGATTAACTAGCTGTTATATACTGATCAAATTAACTAGCTATTCAATTCATGAATTGACTGGCTAAATTGCTACTGAACTATCAAACCTCACAAAACAAATAGCTAGCAGTATATATAGCTAGCTAGCTACCCAGAAAACATGCTAACTAAATAATGATCTAGTTAACTAGCTCGCTCAATAATTAACTAATTAACTAATAATTAACTAACTGGCTAGATAATTGTTTAAGTAGCCAGCAAACCTGTAATTTGTGAACAAACTACCTGAGTAATTATTTCAAAATCTAAGTTCTCTAATTAGCTACCAAGCAATCAAGGTATCATTTCACTAACTGAAAGAATAACAAACTATCTTACCGGGCAAACTGAGCTATCTAGTAAGCTACACAGTAAGTTAGCCAATTGGCAATCGTATTTACTGAAAATAACAACCCAGAAAACGAGATAACTAAATGAGTAATGAGCCACCTACATATAAAACTACCTAAGTGAATAAAGAACGAACTAAATAGCTAGACAACTACTTCAATAACAAACCAAATAACTATTATAGCAATTCCACAGGCAGAACAATTATGTTCTTGTAAATATGAAAGTGTTTGTGTATGTTTCCATGTGAATCGCAGGGCGAAAGCGAGTTTGCCCGCATCATGAGCATTGTGGACCCCAACCGCATGGGCGTGGTCACCTTTCAGGCCTTCATTGACTTCATGTCGCGCGAAACGGCCGACACAGACACGGCCGACCAGGTCATGGCCTCCTTCAAGGTCTTGGCCGGAGATAAGGTATGTCAGTTAGCAACGCAAAAAAAAAAATGCAGTTGAATATAGTTACTTCTGAAAAATATTGATTTATTTTAAATTAAAAAAAAATCAAAGGCAAACAATTTCATATTGAGGGATTACCATGATATGTTCTGAGGTGTAATATATGCATTTTGTGTATATGTGTACACATGTACACATAAGATATATATAAATCTGATCAAAATGATTGAATATTTTTCAATGTTTTTCATGTGCCTTAAAATGTGAAGTCAAATCAATCTGGCCCTCAACAGAATTACATCTTGGCGGACGAGCTGCGGCGGGAGCTGCCCCCCGACCAGGCGGAGTACTGCATAGCCCGCATGGCCCCGTACACGGGCCCCGATGGCGTGCCCGGGGCCCTCGACTACATGTCCTTCTCCACCGCCCTCTACGGCGAGAGCGACCTTTGAACTCTCTCCGCCACCCTGCCCCTCACCCGCCCGCTTCTTTTGTACGTCTCTGGCCTTATTTTTTTTTTCTTTTTTTTTTTTGTCCGCCTCACAAGTTGTGTGTTCCTTCGATTCCCCCCATGCCAAGCAGTTTACACAGAAAAAAAACATGTTATGTTTTTATTTTCTTCTTGTTGTCTTCTTCATAAAGGAATAAAGTTAACATATTTTATGATACTGAACAAAAAAAAGGTATTTTTCTTCACCTGGTTGAGAGTGAGAAATGGAAATTGTAATAAATAAAAAGTGCTTTCATGTTGTCTGTTTATGTTCTGTCTGTTTTTGAGTCCTTAACATCTTGATGCATCAAATATATTTTTCCAGTCATCCAACACACTTGCATTCGAGATTTAATGACTATTGCATGAAACAAAAACATAAGGTTCACAGATGAATATGTATTTTGACTTTCATTCTTTCCAAGGATTATAAACTACATATTTTAGTTATTATATAAATTATCCTTGAACTCCAGTTAAATTGGGCTTCTCACGACAGCGTGATGTACCTTACATAATAAAAACGTCGGACCAAACCCAGAAAGTGGCCGATGGGATTGGTTTGGCTTCACAAACCTCGACGATTACTGCATTATCAAGAAATTATATTTAGTTTAGATCAAAATATAATTTTTGATCCAAAGTGTGTCATGCGTGACCCTTTTTCTTCGCAGCCTAACATCGGACATTTTAGTTTGTCGGACCAAAGCTGTGTATACTCTAATTTTGACATAAGAAATAATTGATTTGGGGATTTGTTACCGAATTGTTTCAAATAAAATGAATTTAGATTAAATGTGGACATTTGTTGCAATAAAATATGAAAATTTGAAAGGTAATATGCCGGAACCTTATTTTACTACAAATCCTTAGCCTTCCGTGCATTTTAACTGGTCGGACAGAAGCCGGAAAAGCATCCAAGGTCTCCTCTTGGACCTGAACAACACGAACGTTTACGCGATTAAATGGAAATTGTATTAATTCATAGTAATTTATAAGTACTTATTATTCATACTTTGATAATTCAAGGAAATGAAAACGTTCGAGTTGGTCACGTCGGAATATTCGTAGCACTCTGGACGTTTTAGTACGTCGAACCAAACCAGAAGGTTCACCCCAAAACAATGTTCCCTTGTTTGGGTTTCACGAACTTTGACAGTTAAGACACGAGAAAAGTAAGAAAAGGAGTCATGTTGAACTTGAAAGCACTGCAGAAGAACAAGACTGTTCGATATGGCGTGCCTATGCTCGTGAGTATCTTCAAGTATGTTTAATAGCATTTTTTGTCGTTATGGTATTAAGAAGTATTCGATATAATTTGTGATACATTTAGTAAAACATTTCAATAACAAGGTAGTCTAGAACAGTACATACAAAGTAGTAAAATAAACATATCAAGGAGACCTTGTTAATTCAATTTGTTGTTCATTTTTATGCCTGGTACCACTAAAGCTGTGTCGTGTTCGCCAGTTGACACACATGGAAACACTGAATACCTAAAATCTCAGTTTTAAGTATCAGCTCGTAAATTACATTTTAAAAAGTAAATTTACTACTTAGGAGCTATTTTTGTTGTCGTCATTATGTTTGGTCAAACAAGCGTACCTTTAGTTGTGCCTGGCATTTAAAATGAACACGAAATGGAAGAAACGGGGATGGTTAAATATTTTTTGTCCTAGAGGGAGTCGTATGCTTATATCAATGCTATTTTACAACAAAGAAGATCATTAGTGGAGATTTATTGAGCATATTTTGGATTTTTACCCAAAGAGTATTACAAAGAAGATTATGTTATGGAAAGAAAAGCAGGACGTACCGCTTATATTAAATCTCAATAGTTTGAACTGACTACTTGCTAAGAGATTCTGCGTGTAGTCCTCCACTCATTTTTCTTTGTCATACCTCAGCATTCACCAGCAGTATGCTGTTGTTGAGAAAAAAAAAAAAGTTAGTGAGTTTTTGTTTCAGCTGCTCGTGGTCGGCGGTTCCTTTGGCCTGCGAGAGTTCACACAGATCCGCTACGATGCCCAAAAAGTCAAGAGGAAGGTACGCCACTCTTCAACTGTAGCGAGCCTGCCAACCTCACTTTGAGAATCACTTTCCTGCAGCAACATGACAACAAAGTGCATTTGACACACACAGGTAATGTGGTTTCTTTTGCGTGGTTTCAGTTGGATCCCTCACTGGAGGCCAAAGTGAACCTGCAGAAGCAGTCGGTCATTTTGGAGCAAGAGTATGAGGTGAGGTGATGAGATGAGATGCAATGAGATGATATTAGAGAGAGAGACAGACAGACAGACAGAGAGAGAGAGAGAGAGAGAGAGAGAGAGAGAGAGAGAGAGAGAGAGAGAGAGAGAGAGATCCTTTCATGTACCACCGGAGGGCGCACGCACTACTCGAGGAGAATCATTGTAATTACGCATTGCACGACAGCCGGGACGCATTTGGAACTACGGAAGCCTCGCCGGCTTGCACTAAAACATTTGCTTCTCCTCCTCGGCCGCCGCCATCTTGTTTTGTCGAAGCAGAAAATGAAGGATGCCAGTTTGGACGAGTGGAGGAACATTCGCGGCCCGCGACCCTGGGAGGACTCCCGGGAATTCCAGGAGCAGCAGCGCAGGAAGAGGACACCAGAGAGCTAGGACACACCCCTTTAAGATATTCAGTGGCGCCTTGAGATAAGAGTTTAATTCGTTCCGGGAACACACAAAAAGAGCACTCTTATCATGTATACATTGTCTATGCAGTAATTATATTAAATAGAATTATACAGTATATCCTTGTGAGCATTGTTATTTTGGTCTCCCCGCGTTTTTTTGGGGAGGGTTTTTGTTTGTTCAGTTTTTTTTCTCCAACATAGATAGCCGTTGCTTAAAGGTAACACCGCCACATCGATGTTAATTATTACTCCGCATGCTGATGGAATTTCCCATTGAATGTTAGCATTCAGTTAGTGGAGGCTATGTAGTTGCTTTCAATACATAAGTAATTCTCTTAGTTGGATGTTTAGTTTGACAGTCGATCCTAGTTTTCTATAGTAAAAACAGTTTTTTGCAACTGTTTTACTTTGATTAATTACAAATATAGTCAATCTGCTTTCACGGAGGAATGCAGAAACTGGAGAATATTCAGTGATGGGAGACTGAAGTAATTGCATTCGGACAATGTTTTTAATCGATCAAAAACTTTGATGAATTTGATCGTCGATAAGTTGTCGATTCATCCTTGCACTTTTAATTGTAACTCTTCAATTGCTGTTGTTGAGGAAGGAGGGCACGATTGTGGTTTCGTCGGTCCGCTTCCCAGCTCACGCGCTTTCTCCGCCAGTGTCTAAAAATAGTCTGACGTTTGGCAGCTGAGGGGGAGTCCACGCGGAACAAAATGCCCCCTGCGGCGCTTTCGCTTCACTCCGCGCACGATGAGCTGGGCGGGAACGTGCCCACCACGCCCACAACACCATGAGGGGGATCAAGAGGAAAAGGGGGCTCCTCCACGCAGATGGTTGTGATGATGATGACTTTTGAGTTTTAGGCCACAGCCTAAAAAAAAAAAAAAAGATTGGACATACATTGCACTTTTTTTTTCGATTTTTTTTTTCAAATTTTGACAAAAGCTGTCAGATAAAAAGAGGAAAAAATTGCAAAAAGTTTGATTGACAGAGATGTACATTTTGAAGTTTTTCAGATATAAAGAAAATGAACTTTGGCCAGAGGGGGGAAAATTCACATTAATTCGACCATATATCATGTTTGTCATTTTTTTGTCTTCACAGAAATAAAATTGCTTTGTGGATGAAAAAATACAAAAGTTAAACTTTTTTTTGGGGGGGGGGGGTTTAAAAAAAAAAAACTCCAAACTGTCGCCCATGTTGAAACATGCATCGAAAAGTTGTATTTTGTTCTCTTTACAAAACTAACAAATTGCTTTTTTTCGTGGTGGGAACCAAAACAAAACAGTCAAACATTTTGGGAAATTTTTGGTCAGATATTTTTTTTTTTTTTAATGAATTTTGTGTTAGGTAAATTTGTAAATGGCTAAATGTTTGACTTGCGTTGGTGGGAAAAAAATGGTTGTAATTCATCGCTTAAAAAAAATTGAACATCAGACAGGTTGACTTGCGCAAATAAGAGCTGCCTCGCACTTTGCCGACTGAAATTGAACGTTGAAGCATGAGAGGGTTTTATACTGCGCCGTGCTTTGACTAGCATTCATTATTGATCCCATTTAATGAATTCCAAAGAGCTTGCAACCCGACGATTAATTAACCAGGAGTATTAATGAAGAGCGGGTGAAGCACCATTTTACAGCTCTGACTCACGGCAACAATCTCTGCAAGTTTTTAAGGGTTGGGAAAACACACTTAGGGGGACAAGAAACCCACCGAGTTTCATCGGTCGCATTGAAAATCGAATGTTTCTTTCGCCTTTTGATCAGGTGGCACTCAAAATCCGCGGGCTTCTTTTACTCTTGATAAGGTCACTTTCAAGATCAATCGCGACGCTCTCTTGATCAGCATTCAAAATCAACGCATTTACTCGTGATGATTGTTGTTCATCAGCCGTGTTCATCATCCTCATCCTCATCTCCAATATGGGCAAAATATTTGACACCCTCCTCCCTAGAAAACCAGGTGGAATCCACTCACATGGCGTATACGTCAGCAAAATCCAAAGTTGCATACGTAGGCAGCTGGGGGAATGCATAGCATTTTATTGACATTTATTCGGCGGCGCAGGTGCACTTAATAATTTGACCACAGCCCTTACGCCGGCGTCTGCAGGTTTTCTCCTCTCAGCTGATGAGGGCGATGACGTAGGCAGCCGCGCGCGCGCGCGGGAAGGAGCCGACGCAACCATTGGACGCCGCTACCAAAAATAATCATAATAATGTAAATCCCCCCCTCCCGCTAAAAAAAAAAAAAATGAAAGAGATGAGGATGAGGAGGCGGTCACGGAGCGATGCGGGAGAGCGTCACTGAATGTAGAAGAGGAGAAAGAGGAACGTCGTGTGCGCGCCTTCCACGCCGGAGATCGCTGATTCACGGCTCGGCGCCCGAGCGCGAGCCGCTGCGAGCATCCATCACCGGCGAGGACCTTAAAATACTCACCCTCGCTTCCTCTTCCTCTCCCCCTTCCTCGCCCCTCCTCCTCCTCTTCCTCCCTTGTCACTGACAGCTCCACTCAGTCCCGCCAGACGTGAGGAGCTTCTGGGGTTAGGAGGACGTCACCACCACCATTATCAGCACCGCCACCACGGGAACCAAGGCGAGCTCCTCCGCCGGATCCGATCCAAGACGCCTCTCGCCGGGGGGAACCGAGCCGGCTTGAGGGGCGTGGGGGTGGCTGTCCGCGTGATTTTTTTATTTTTTTTTTCCCTTTGGGAGGGGAGGATGTGGTGCAGCTTCCACACCAGCTAACCAGGTGAGTGACACCCCGTAATCATCAGAATAATGCATGTTGATGGAATCATGTGTGACAGATGGATCAATTAACACTCTTGTAAGCGTGCCTCAGGCGCTAATGGGCGCGCCATTGATGTTCTCATAGTAACACGTAGCGTGCACGATGTTACATATGTCTGCTTAAAATTGACGGGGGGGGGGGAGGCTTTCATGGGGGATCCCCCCACCCTTCTCCTGCCCCTCCACTTCAGGTATAGCAGATGATGATTAATCAGCAACAGCTGAAACTCTGCTGAGTGTGCAGCTCAAATGACCCCCACCCTTTTTTTTTTAAATAACACACACACACACACACACACACACACACACACACACACGTCCAAAAATAGAGTCAGGCTGTCATGGCATCTACATTTTGAATGTGAGCTGTTCATACACATATATTTTTTTTTCAAAATCTGTAGCTAAGCCTGTGCAATAGTGGTGGAAACGCACACAGTTTACACTTTCGCATGTTTGATGAAGTTAATTTCTGTGCGTAATTGATGTTCAATTAATCAATTCGTCCTACAATGGCCCGGTCGTGTTTATTTATTGGTCTACTCGATGTTAGCAGTGAAACCTGTGAAGCCATAAGTATCCGGGTCATGGCACCAATTGAAAAGTTATGCCAAACTTGTATCGGTCAGCCTAAATGCTCGCAATATTCAATGAAGGTCATGTGAGAATGTGTGACCTGCTTGTCTTAACTGGATTCAACTAGATATGTCTCACAGAGTGACGTCGATAAGAAACCCAAGCAAGAGAGCGCTCAGCAAATTAATGGCCCAGCTCAAGAAATTCAAAAATTAAAAATTAACTGTGCGTGGCAAGGTGGTCGATCCTGGCTACGGCTTTGCTATGTGGAGTTTGCATGCGCTCCCCGGCTTCGCCGATTTCCTCCATATTCAAATAACATGCATGTAAGGTTCAAGAATCTAAATTGTCCCTGTGCGTGATCGTTAGCGCAAATGGTTGCTCATCTATCTTACGGTCCAAAAAGAAAAAGGCGCAGGATAAATTCTGTTCTATGTTATTGTCACACTTATCATTGCATCATTGTTTCTGTTCATTCCACCTTCATGCGCTGTCGCCATGGTAACAACATTTACAGACAGGCCATTTTTTAAGTATACAAATAGCACTATCGCCATCTTGTGGCAGATATCGGTAATTCCAGAAGTAACCGGATTTTCTCAGGGCTAAAAGTTTCCCTGGTTGCCTCCATGCTAATCGTTAGCCAGTTGTATGCTCGCTAAATTTTTATTCATCTGCCTACCACAACACGTCTCTTTTTATTTTTTTTATTTTTTCATTGATACTGTCAAAAAGGTTCAAATATTTTTTTCGGATATTCAAAAATATAAAAATGCTCGTTCCTCATTGCCGTAAATAAATGTCGCAGCTGTGCAGAATATTTAGCTCTAGAGTAAAATGTAATTTCAGAGAATCCCTGTAAGCCTTCCATGAACTGAACCACGCGATTGGCTCGCCAAACAACGTTTGACGCTGACAGGAATATACAATATCTTGGAGTGCATGAATAAATCATGTCGCTTAATAACTCGCATATATGCACAAGAGCTCCCCCGCATATAAACACGGAGTGATAAGTCAGCACAATGACTGATTGCTCGTAGTCAATGTTTAACACCAATTAATGCAAGTAATTACTCACTGGAGCAATCAAGTTGAACATTGTCATGTAACATTTAGCTCACTGAGCAGGAATTAAGCGACACATTCATTATGTTTTTTTTTTAAATGCGAGTTCCACTGCAAAGCACAAGTATGCGGTTCAAAAACAAAAAAAGTCATTCAACGATGCATCAATTGAGTTTGTATGAGTTCAAATGCAAAGCAAAAAAGGGGGATTAAAAAAAAAGACCCCACCCCCTTTACCCCCAAAAGAAAAAGTGAAAAGCAAAAAGCATATATTGTAATGTAATATTTGTGTTGCTGAGCATGAACAAGGCTAATTAAACATTGCATAAACATTTCGTTCATTGAGTTTATGCGAGTTCAGATGCAAAGTACAGCATTTAAATACATGCAACAACAACAGCAAAAATGCTGCTTCATTGAGCAGGAAGAAGTGATTAAACGGTACGTTCATTGTGGTCTGAATTCCATGAAAAAAGGAATAAAAATGCAAGAAGTAAATATTATAATAAAATATTTCTTCACCGCCACTTTGATGTCCTGAAAAAAAAAATTGGGTAGGTGCTTTGGATGACAACCCTCACCCACCCTTCCTCCCTTTCTGAGTCGCCTGAGTTTAAAGTAAGATAATGTAAAAAATAAAAAACAAGTATTGAATCACACAATTCGAGCAAAATGGGATTCATTCTCACTTTTTTTTTTTTTAGCTGCTTGATTCCACCACTCATCAATTTTGGGACAAAGGGACAATTTCATGTCATAGTCTTTGTGTCCAAAGGAGGCGTTTAGTGGAAGCGTAGATACCCTCTTGATGATGATGATGATGATGATGATGATGATGATAGAGCAAGAAAAATCTTGGTTAAACCTTTAGTGACAGTCCCAATGGGGCCAAAAAGAATTAAGTATGCAAATTGGTGTAGTGTTGCGGCTCATTTTGAGGTCACTAACACACACACACACACACACACACACACCATAATCCCAAACAATCCAGAGTTTGTGAGGCGGTTTTGACGCGCACGTCTCCGCGCTCTCAATTGACAAACAAAGCGTGGGTGTGTCTATTGAATTGTTTAGTGCTTAATCAATGGTGTAAATCTTTTGGACGAGGAAGACACTACAAATGGATGTAATTGGAACGTACTATTTGGTTTTCTGGGGTGGAATGTTCCATTCACTTCCAAACAATCAAAGGAAATTGTTTACAAATTCTTCCAGAGTCAAAATCTCTTGACCAAGCTTTTGGCGCGCAGTGCTAACATTAGCTTTACTGACAAACAACTATCAAATCTCACACTCTGATTTGCTTTAAAGAAAAAAACTATATGCCCCTGTGAAAATTATATATATAAAAAAAAATCACCCTTAAATTGTCTTTATTTTTGCGAAATCCAGCCAATACTTACTTAAATGGTGATCAAGACATAACCTCCAGACGCGCGCTTGGCAGAAGAAATAAAAATGCCGTGTCAAAATGTAATTATTTTTTTCATGTAATTGTTTTGTTAGTTTTTCCATCATCCAGGTCGCAAGCCAACTAACCTACCACTGGTTGTCAAAAGCAAAAACTCTTTTGTGCTTGTCAGAGGTAATAAAAATTCCTACAATTGAATTTCTACAATTTTAGCCTAATCCAGCTAGCGCTAGCTAAAAACACACAATGATGAAAACAGAACCTCTAGCAGTCGCACGCCTTTCACAGTAAGGCAGAAAAAATGTCAACATAACTGGTCTGATCCACGTCAAAATGTTGTTTCTTGACTTGCTTTAAAAAAAATAAAATAAAAACAATAAACCAGCTAGCTAGCAACCAACACATGTTAAATAAAACATGATCTCCAGCCTTTCATTGTTCAAGTTTGGTGGACATAATAAAATCAGTCCTTGAGCATTTTTTTTTTTTTTTTTGCGTGACGCACCGAACTAACTAATTGATTAACATTTTAATTTTTTTGTCTGTAAACCAGCTACGTAGCCCATCAACGAAAGTCACTCAAATCATAAGCTAATCTAACTGACTGACTGACTCATCAGAGCAATCTCCAGCATTTTTTTTTTTAGTTTGGCAGCTACACAAAACTGTGCACAAGTAAAAGATATCAACCACAATATTTTGTAATGTTACAAAAGAGAGTCATGGTGTATGTGACGTTAGCCCACTGACCAAATGGTTTCCACTTCCGAATGACCCAAGCGCTAAATATGTGTCAGCTCGCATCCTGTCGAGGCGGTGGGGATGGGTTAATATGTAGCGGTTTGCGCTGAACATGACCCAAGATATGTGTGACGTCTTTTGATGTTCTATTTTTGCCTAATTAGCCTTTTTTGAAACATTTTTTGAGCTAATACGACATTTTGGACACTGCTAGCCACGCCGCAGCTCCTGCTGAGCGAGCTAGTTTGGTTCCCGACCCGCACGTGTGTGTTTTTTTCCCTTTTTTTTTTTTTTATTTTCCCTCCCTCACTTCTCCCAAGAGAACTGAAGACAATCAAAGTCCAATCGGTGTAATTGGTCTCCACATCCAAAAGCCCAAGTAAACTCCCGTGATTACAAACGAGTCCGCAGGCTAGCGTTTTATTAAACAAACCTTATCTCCATTTTTTTCCTCTATCTTCTTCCCGGACCTGAATAGCTCATGCATTTTCAAAGGGCAAGAGAAGTGAGGAGGGGTAATATTTTTTCCGGCCCGCCTCCCACGGAGGAAATCAACTTGTCGCAATTATCCTGTTTCTAAACTAGGTCGCCCCATCTGAATTTAGACACTCGTGAAATCGGGGGAAATTCTGTCTCGCTGAAAAGTCTTATCTTGTGCTGTGTTAAGGTGTTCGAAGTCAAGGCCCAGTGCTGGATCGCAGTGCGGTGAGGACCCTTGAGACCACGGAGGGTGCATGGAGGGCTCAAGGCCCGTAAGTCCGAGGCGGTCGGCCTGTCTCCGCTTAGGACTGGTTTCAGCGGCCATCGCCTTCCTCGGTGCGGAGGCCCGGAGCACCCCGAGCCCGCCGCTTCACCCCGACAACGCCACTTGCCTGGGGAACTCCAAATGCACCCCCGGCATCATCTTGCCCATCTGGTACCCCGAGGACCCGTCCATGGGTGACAAGATCGCGCGGGTCATCGTGTACTTTGTGGCCATGATCTACATGTTCCTGGGCGTGTCCATCATCGCCGACCGCTTCATGGCGGCCATCGAGGTCATCACGTCCCAGGAGAAGGAAGTGCTGATCCGCAGGCCGAACGGCGAGACCACCACGGCCACCATCCGCGTCTGGAACGAGACGGTGTCCAACCTGACTCTCATGGCGCTGGGCTCTTCGGCCCCGGAGATCCTGCTGTCCGTCATCGAGGTCTGCGGCCACGAGTTCAAAGCGGGCGAACTGGGGCCGTCCACCATCGTGGGCAGCGCCGCCTTCAACATGTTTGTCATCGTGGGCCTGTGCGTGTCCGTCATCCCCCAGGGTGAGGTGCGCAAAGTCAAGCACCTGCGAGTGTTCTTTATCACGGCCGGCTGGAGCATCTTTGCGTACATCTGGCTCTACATGATCCTGGCTGTGTTCTCGCCCAACGTGGTTCAGGTTTGGGAGGGCCTCCTGACGCTGGCCTTCTTCCCCATCTGCGTGCTACTGGCCTGGGTGGCCGACCGCCGGCTTCTCTTTTACAAGTTCATGCGCCGCAAGTACCGCGCCGACAGACACCGCGGCGTCATCATCGAGAACGAGCCCGATCGCTCCTCCAAGGGCATCGAGATGGACGGCAAGATGGTCAACTCCCACTTCGCCGACGGCGGCGTCAGCCCCGCGGGCCCGACGGAGGTCCGGGAGGCGGACGAGTCCCGCCGCGACATGATCCGCATCCTCAAGGACCTGAAGCAGAAGCACCCGGAGAAGGACCTGGACCAGCTCGTGGAGATGGCCAACTACCACGCGCTGTCCCACCAGCAGAAGAGCCGCGCCTTCTACCGCATCCAAGCCACGCGCATGATGACGGGCGCCGGCAACATCCTGAAGAAGCACGTGGCCGAGCAGGCCAAGAGGTGCGCCAGCATGGGCGAAGTCCGCGCCGACGAGCCCGAGGAGTACGTGTCGCGCGTGGCCTTCGAACCCGCCGCCTACCAGTGCCTGGAGAACTGCGGCGCCGCCATCCTCACCGTCACCCGGCGGGGCGGCGACATGGGTAAGACCGTGTGCGTGGACTACAAGACGGAGGACGGCTCGGCCAACGCGGGCGCCGACTACGAGTTCACCGAGGGCACGCTGGTCTTCAAGCCCGGCGAGTCCCTCAAGGACATCAGCGTGGGCATCATCGACGACGACATCTTCGAGGAGGACGAGCACTTCTTCGTGCGCCTGGGCAACCTGCGCGTGCTGGAGACGGAGGAGGAGCTGCTGTCGGCTAACAGCCTGCCGTACCCCAAAGCGGCGCTGGGATTCCCCGCCGTGGCCACCGTCACCATCCTGGATGACGACCACGCCGGCATCTTCACCTTCGAGAGCGGCGCGCTGCACGTCAGCGAAAGCGTCTGTGTCATGGAGGTCAAGGTGCTGAGGACGTCGGGCGCGCGGGGCACGGTCATTGTGCCTTACCGCACCCTGGAGGGGCTCGCTAAGGGGGGCGGCGAGGATTTTGAGGACGCGTACGGCGAATTGGAGTTCAAGAACGATGAGACCTGGTAAGGCGGCTGTTTTCTTTCTCGCAATCTGTCTTCCGTTATTCACTGAAATAACGGATTTATCGCCTCTTTGGCGCCATCTTGTGCCAAGGAACTTAGTTGAAGTTTGTTGTATAGCTTCATTTAGACACGTGCCGTCTTGCGGCATCTGTAAGCCATCATAAATTGGGTGCAGTGGGGGGGGGGGGTCCATTCCTCTCTGATTTTTCCTATTTGCGGAAAATCTTGCCGACAAAATCTTTTTTATTTTTGTGGTTCATCTACGGTTCAAAATTTGACGATAAGCAACTATGAAAGGTTTCGAGGGATTGTCAATCACTCGTGGTTTTTTTTTTTTTTTTTTTTGTAGTTGGACTATACTTCTTTTCATGAGCACTTTTGTCATTTTGTTCAATGAAATTTGACCGAACAGAAGTACTCGAGGTCCCGGTATGATCGTTCTGACATCGGTGTGAACGAAAGTGGTTTCGAACATCCCTCATATGACGTACGGCCAATCGTGCCTTTTTCAGGGAGGACTTTAATTCTTGCATCTGATTCGCGAAAATGGCGTGACGGTAAGCAAACAACGGTGAATAAAAGTGATGCATTCTCAGGTGTTTTTTGGAAGGTTGGCTCGTTTGGTCTTAGCCGAGGTCTGGATTGTGCCTGTATGTCCGGACTGTGGTTAATCGTGCCTTTTCTGGCACTGACTTTCTTCCGGCTTCAGATTGACTCAAATGGCCTTACCTTTGACACGTCCCACTTTGAATAACCTGCGGCGTGTCCTCAGGCAGTTTTTGACAGTGTGCTAATTTTTGGCGTTGGTCGCAGTCCATTTCGAGTGTGTATTCTGTATGGCTGATTTTTCTACTCAGTCATGTCTTTTGTTGGGGGGGGGGGGATGTGCGTGATTTAACTAGGATTCGGTGAAAGTAGAGCGCTACGTCGTCCTACGTCTTGTGAAAGAGGCTTTTTCAGGGAACAGTTTTTCTTCTGACTTCTGATTGGCTTGAATGGCCTGATGCGAAGGATGAAATAGACGTCAAATAACAACGCTGCTTTTTTTTTTTTCAAGCCTCGTGTCTCACCCAAGCGTGCATACCCTTGTTTTTCCTCTCGTCCCAGTGCTCCTGTGTGTGTGTGCCCTCACTCCCCTCCCCCCCCATTTTCATTTGTTTTACTTTGATTGTTTACGTGTGTCACTTTGCTTCGCAGGTCAAGCAATCACACAGAGTGTTACAGTGATGGTGTGTGTGTGTGTGTTACACGCGAGGGGGGATTCAATGTGAGGATTTGTCACACAACAACTGTGGCAACAGGAAGTCCTGAGCTAACAGTGATGCGAGTCGGTACTCCTCAGACTCGAGATGAAACGCTTGGAACAATTCAGATCAAGATCAACATGAGCAAAATAATGGTGGTCCGTCGTGTTTATCACCAGATTATTGAAAAAGCACGTCACGCCTTTTTTTTTTGTTGTTGTTTTTATCCCGTGCGTGTAAACTCTACGGAATTGCAATTCTGGAAATATTGATTGATTGATTTTTTTTCCTCCTCTCTCCTCCTTGCAAACAAGGGCACTCAGGCTGTGAATCAAATTGACATCCGTACATCTGACATCCTCCGCTCAGCGGGACCTTCTGCTGGTGTCACAACCCCCGGGGGGGTGGACGAGTGTCAGGGTGAGCAGGAGGGCTCCCGGGGGCACGCCAGCCTCTCTGGGGTTGGGGATGTAGTTGCCTTGATTTATGTGCGAAGGAGACTTCCCGACGGCGCCACGCAGAAAGGAAGAGCACTCGTATTATGGCCGGAACGCTGTCGTTGTGTGTTGTGTATCGATCCATCCATTGTTTTGGGGTCGCTGGGTCCAAGGTGACGGCCGGCCGAGTGATGAATAGCGCGCAGGTGGGCCAAAACCTCGGGAAGGTTCCCACAATGCAAAATTGCCAAGTACCCCTTTGTTTCGGAGGACGTGTCGCGAGACGACGATCCGCATGTTTTGTGTGGGGCGGAGCTTGACATGGCACTGTCCACTCATTCATTCTCACGTTGATGAAGAGATGGATGGATGACTGGGCCGATGAATGGCTTGGTGGAGAAGCAATCAATCAATCAATCAATTAATCAATCAAATTTTCTCTCTCTCTCTTGCACTCGCACACAATGGGCGTCAATGATATGCAGATTTTCGCTGTTTGCGAGTTGGCCGACTCCCTGTCTCCCACGAATAGTGGGGAAATACGATAGTTTTGGGGTGTAATATCATCCATTTACCACTAGATGGCACACATGGCTTAGTTCCGCCTACGCGGGGTCTTATACTGCCCTGTCCGACAACATGAGTAGGCCGAATCATTTTTGCGGAGTTGGGATGATATGCAGGATAAACGTAGGATCAAATATTGACAATTTGTGTGCGATGATTTTTGCGCAAATATGCACAAAATGAGTTCTTGCACTTCATGTTGGTTTCTTTATTTTGTGCCATCCTTGAATGGTGTTTTTTTTTTTCTTTTTTTATGCATGAGAGATCTTTGCACAACATCGCAACCTTTCGGTGACAATCGAAAAAATCCTCCAAGGCTTCATGGGCAAAATGTCGCTTTTTCACCGGTGGCAGCTGCTTGTCGGCTGAGGGGTCCTCCCCGGAGACGCCGCGTGTTTAACAAGGCGCTGATACATTCATAAACAAACGAGTGGTGCACAGCAGACTGAGCGGAATTAGCCGCGCAAATTGCCCTCGCCGTCACGCCTCCGCGAGCTCGTAAATGGACCGGCGCACGTCGGGGGTTGCTCAAACATTTTCGGTCCAGGGACCCCCCCCACACACACACACACACACACACCCCTTACATGGGAGACCTCCTCATAATCCAAATGACAGCTAAACTTGTTTGTCTGCATGAATTAATGCAATGACGTCCGAGTCGATCCTAATGCGTATGCGAATCTAAAATATAAATGATATCGAGCGAGAGAATATTCACATCGATGCAGTTATGCGCACCCGAACACACGCAGTAACACCCTCTTTTTTTTATTTTTATTTTTTTTTTTTTGTACACAATATCATTGTAGTGGTACACAAGTACAAGCCGGGTGTCATCGAGTGTTTTGAAATGACGCAGATTGTGTGATAACACCGCACAGAAAGCAATTCAGGAGACATTTTCTTATCTGATCAAACATATTGGAGCTGCGAAATGCCACACACACACACACACACACACACACACACACACACACACACACACACTCCCTCTCGCACGTTCACGCTGATTTCACCTCACAAAATCTCCCAAACGCACGCGCGCGCTCGCACGGCTTGAGTGGCAATAAATACGCTGGGCCTCCATTCGCTGCTCTCTGTCAGGGGAATGCAATTAAGTTAAGGCTTATTTATAACGCAATCCGGCAACCGGCTGCGTCACCGGCGTCCTCCCTGCCTCATCAAGTGCCGTGTAAATCTGACCGGGGGTCCGTTATTTGGGATTCTACAAATTGTCAAGTTGCGGTATTCGAGAAGCGCGGAGCCCCAGACATGACATCAGGGGGAGGAAAAAAACATAGCACTCTTCAATAAATGACATGATACTCACCCGAGATGCTGCTTATTAAAAGTATTCATGTGTGCAGATCACGAGCAGATCTTGTTAGTTGTTTGGGACAAGTTCTGGCCTACCAGACGTCATCTCAGGCCTGTTATCCCCCCCAGGCATCATTTGATCTCGCCATTTTCAAACGGCACTTGAAAGTCCAAAATCTGACAGAACATTGTGGCCACCATTAAAAATCAATTCCCACGTCATGTCTACAGCTCGGTAGACAAGGGAAGCAGCTCACGCGTAAACTATTCCTTGTATTCCGCCCCCCCCAAAAAAAAACCTTTCTCTTGGATTCAGCAGAGGAGCAAAGATAGTTGGACTCATTCAAGCGAAAGCTTTGTTGTTGTGCATCACCCCGAACCGCCGGGCAGTCTCGACACGGCTTCCCGGAGGAGAACCCTTGTCGGAGGCCCCCCCGAGGCGGTGGCTCGCCCGACTCCCGCTCGATGCCTTCGGGACAAAAGTGGAAGTGGAGCCGCGCGCGCCTGTTGCATTTTGGAAGGAGACGGCGAAACAGATCGGTTCTTATTTGTGTCACATGAGTTCTGTAAATGATTCGGGGGTGGGCCCGGGGGGGCATTGGACCGCTGGGTTTTGTACCATCTCTGGATTGTCTTCAAACATTGCGTCACCGGGATTCTTTTGGGCTACCTGGATCAGCCATATTCCTGGGGAGACTCGGCTTCTGTAGGATGCGGTGTCTTATCTTTCGGATGTGTTTTGTTTTTTTTTGGGGGTGGGGGGGGTGAGGGTTGTGCTTATCCGGTCCAACTTGGAGTCTTTGGTGTGGGCATAAATGTGGGCGTGGCTCCTTTTGTGTGAGTTTTGTGCATCGGCTACCAGTTGTCAGAGGCAAGGCCAAAGGCTTGGTCATAGAGGCGGATGTGATCAGGGTTGGAGGAGGTTGGGGGGGGGGGCATCTTGGCCCCCGCAGAACCCTCTGGGACCAGCGACGCTGCAGCGGCTGTCACATCGCACTCCCCGCCGTAAGATGAAGGGGTGACACTGCTGGATCGCAGCTCTGCCGGGGCCCCACGGGACCCCCTCTTCCTTTTTACAACATTCCCCCTCCATCAGCACCATCACCATCTTCAACTTTTTTTTTTTCTTTGATGTAATCCTGTCAGGGAGCAATGCTCTCCTGCTCTGTTGCCACCTTGCAGCGGTTCCTGTTGGAATGATCTCTCCCAAGCAAATGTGAAGTCCATTTTCCACTCCCCCAACCTACACCCCCCCCCACCACTCTTCCTTCATATGTTTTATTTAAGCCTCGAGCGCTGGCTCAAGATGGTGGCCTACTTTTGTCTGAACCTGCACCCGTTTGTGGGATTAGGCTCGGCATCCCAAATTTGCACGGACATCCCTCAGCGGCTTGACTAATAGCACAATACTTCACAACACACTTTGGGGGGG